TAACTAGTATTGTGTTTAGCAAAATAAAATTGAATAAATGAAGTCAATGCATTGTTGCATAACCACATCACATACAACACAATCAAATAAAATGATAAACCTCCTCCATCCCCTTCGTGTATTACTGCACAATACCTCAGTTTTAAAACTTTAAACAGTGTGCGTTCTCATAGAAAAAAAATCTTTTGGACATAACATTAATAACAAGTAGCTATTAAATTCTTGGTTTTTGGATGTGGAGGTCTAAAAATGTATACAATAATTAATAATGTACACTAATAATAAAGAAGGGGTATAAAGCTTAAATGTTATATAACGTGGTATACAGCCAGTGTTTCTTCCAGACTTTTTTCTCCGGGGGGGGGGGGGGGGGCACTTGAAATTTTCGGGGGGGGGGGTAGACTTTCTTCGGGGGGGGGGGGGCGGACACTGTTAAAAGTATATATTTTCTATATACATTATATAAATTTTATTTCGTTCGGGGGGAGGGGGCGGTAAAAAATGTTCGGGGGCCGAAGAGATCCCTGGAAGAAACTCTGTATACAGCAGAATTTAGTGAAATATCAATTTGTTCCCTCCAACCTTGACGACACTTTTCTACATGGCCATCTTTTTACGTTTCAAATTTTTTAAATCTAAAAATAGCTGTACTCTCAGACCCACTGATTTGACTAAATGTTTCGGTTTGTGGAATGTGTTTTCTTAAAGCTTTCAACCTTTTCTAATCTAAATATAGCTGTACACTCAGACCCGTGGAAATGCTAGGCTGAAGTTGAGCGACAGGGATATTACGAGAGTGACCTTGGCTGTCAGACCTTACTTCGACAAAACAGAAACAATCGCTGATGGCATAATGGAGATGATTCGCAGATACAAGTAGGGTCTATAACTCCGTTCACTAATCACTATTTACCAAATTCGTCTACTAAACCTAGTAATAAGACATGTCTAGTTGTTGTGGACATTAGATTGATGTTTATAAGAATGATCCTGATTTTTTCTTTCTTTTCAGACTTATTTTCCAGAACGATCACGAAAGTGCCTTACAAACCCTCTCCCGGAAAACGAGTTTAAGGGATCATCGTCTGATAATTTAGATTAGGAAATAAGACAATAAATAACTAAAAACTGTTTGTTGTTGTGTTTTTTTTTCGTTTTTTTTTTTCATTTGTTTGGTTTCTTTTTCATTGAAATAAACAGCAGCGCAAATTGGGTTCAAGTAACACATGTACTTTTTTTTTTAAAAGTATGTTTCCCTATTCAAAAATCGTCTATTTCACCCTTCATTCTGCACCATCAACCCAACACGGTAGGTCCTTTAACAATCCGTCTCGACCTCCACTCCACCTCAACCCCCACCCCCACCCGCCCCCAACCCCTCCACCCCATCTACCTCAAGTTTAACGTGTTATTTTTTAACGGCACACCTCGAATGTAGCACTTCGTCACGAAATTCAGAATGCCCCACCCATGAGCCCCTCATTGTTAGTTGCTTACATAAGGAGCTGAAGACACGTTCAACAACACATTTCTGTGTTTGTTTCTGTTGTTTGTTTTTTTTTTTTAATTAATTCGAATTATTATTTTTTTCAAAATTCCAGCTACGACGTTTTACCTGTTTAATTTTGTGTGAAGAAATATTTATTCAATAATTCAATACGAATGCGACTTACTTTAAAACAGAGGCGTATCGATGGGGGGGGGCAGGGGGGGGGGACATATGTCCCCGAACGCCGACCTTAGGGGGCGCCAAAATGGGTTGTAAAAAAAAATTAAAATGTCAATTTAACTGCATTTTTGCAGTTAGAGGGGGGGGGTGCAAATTGAAAGTTGGAGGGGGTGCAAATCGAAAAGTTGAGGGGGGTGCAAATCGAAAAGTTGAGGGGGGGTGCAAATTGAAAATTTGCTCTCGAGGGGGCGCTAAATTGAAATTTTGTACCCGGGCGCCGGGAAGGGTCGCTACGCCTCTGCTTTAACAAGTTTTATTTGACCGTTTTTCTGTTAGGGGTGGTGGTTTCTGTGTTGTTGTTTTTTAATTTATACTTATGGGGTGGGGGTGGGGGGAGTGGATGGGAACAATTGTTAATTGCTGTATAAAGTTAAATGGCGTCATGGTGGTTTAAACAATTAAAGCTTCCATTTCAGACATAACGATCCATAGGACAGATGAAGTAGAGCTCATATATTTCTTAACCTCGGTAAATGAACACTATACCTAACCGCCCTTACTTTCCCTATCGTGAGTCAAGTACGCATAAGGGCTGGGTGGACTCAGAGACTCAAGTCTGGTTTAATATTCTTGCAGCTGCTGCTGCAAGAATATTAACGGTTTGACGCTAAAGATGAATGTGTTTGTAATGGTTTGGTGTGTTTGTAATTAATTTACATTTTTTTCCCGAGTTATTTATAGCTTTGTTGTGACTTTTTAAAATGTTATATAGCCTATTAGTATTAGTGCCATGGATATGTAGGCCTACCTATTTAGTGGCTAGAGATACTCGCAAAAAATGACCGAAACAACTGTACTTACTACTTAGCATGGTAAGGAGCATTTGGCGTGACAAACGACTTCTGTTAGAACAAAAGTCAAACTTATGCGATCACTGGATTGGTCTGACTTCTTATATGGGAGGCGGGGCCAGAGGCGTAGCGACCCTTCTCGGTGCCCGGGGACAAAGTTTTCAATTTGCACCCCCCCTCAAGATTTCGATTTGCACCCCCCCCCCCTCAAACTTTCGATTTGCACCCCCCCCCCCCCTCTCAAAATTTCGATTTGCACCCCCTCAACCTTTCAATTTATTTTTCCAAACCCATTTTGTCGCCCCCTAAGGTCGGCGCCCGGGGAAATATGTCCCCCGCCCCCCACCCTCCTCGCTACGCTACTAGGCGGGGCACTCCATGTAGGCCTCCAGAGACGGATTCAAACCATAAAAAGGAGTTGTTGTCAGAGACCTCTAAAGATCCGTGAAAAAAGTTACCGATGTGATTGGTCTTTTCGAGAACCTGAAATATCGTCAAAGCAAAAAAGTTCAGATTATATGTACATGGGATGTGGCACTATCCAATTGCCGATAAAATCATGAGGGGCATGACGTTAGGGAGGAAAAGGCAGGGAGGCAAAAACTGGAACACATCAAGGAATGCACATGGGCTGTCCGTTGTAGATTTACCGAGAAAAATGGAAAAGAATCCCGAAAAAGTCAACTCTGGTGCCTCTAGCTCCAACCTGCTTTTGTTTCTAGGTGTGCTTACAGGCTTCTATAATCTTTGTTCACCTAAGAACATTAACAGTTGTTTGATTTTGGAGTTTTCTCTGCTAGAAAGGTTGCTGAATCTACGCCAAGTAATCTTCTGACTAGCGAGTAGCGAGATCAGTGTTTCTTTTAGGCATCTCTTCGGGGGGCTCTGCCCCCCCCCCCCCCATCAAAGAGAGTCTACTTCCCACCCCCACCCCCTCCCCCGAACGAAATTGAGTTTATATAGAAAATATATACTTTTAGCAGTGTCCGCCCCCCCCCCCCCCCGGAAATTTTAGTCCGCCCCCCCCCCCCCCCCAGAAAGATATTATTATGTAGGCTACTAAAGAGAAAGTATAACAATACTTGCGGAATATTAAAATAGCACACCTTAATTTACTGAAATGGTAACTAATAATATAATATCATTACATAGTTTTTTGTCCGGCATCTCTTCAGCATCACCCCACCCCGACCGATCGAGCACGTCTACTGTTGTACCATTCCGGAATAATAACCGACGCTATACTATATCGTGAGATTACTTTAAGTGCCCCCCCCCCCCACACACACACACCACCACCACCACTAGAAGTTTTATCTGGTTTCATGACTGAAAATAATAATTTAGATATCTAGATCTATTTTTTTTTAAATTTATTTGCGCTTTTGTGTTGAACAGCTGTTTTCGTCTCTTTGACAAATCATTGTTTACGGAAATAAGATGGAAACCAGATACTCAGTTGGTTCTGATCATTCTGTTTTAATTAAACTTTAATCTAATGACGGTTCTTTGTTTTCGACGTCATGGTTGACTGGATAACGAACGAGGCTCCTAAAGTTATTGTTGTGGTAGGTCTTTAAAAGCTTTCATTTTGATTATTAGTCCACGACGTACGTAACTAGTGTACTAACTAGTCTAAAGTGTGTAATGTGTAAGAAGACGAACCGGACTCTAACACACTAACAGAGTAACAGAGGGTTCGGTGAGTCAGTCTCAGAGTTTCAGGAGTTCGACGGAGGTCAAGACACTCACCCACATATCAAATATATATTCTAAACAAACAATATCTGCAGCATGATTGTGCCGCAGTAGATCCTGGGCCACACCCAGATACAAAAGGAAATAAGATTGCAGACCAGATTGCTAAAGCTAAAATTAAAAATTGTTAATTGGGGGAAAGTCAAAACAGCCCAAAATTTCTCTAAGCCTAAAAGAAATTCAAAGAATCATAAAAAAAACAATTTCACTTGTGGTCTGACATAAACCCAAATTACTCAAATTACACAAAAGGGTAATCTATCGTTTTAGGTGCGTAAAATCGTCCGAGGCTAGTACTGTGAGAAAAAGTTGCCTCATTCAATTCATTGTTAAGGCTTTAATAGAAGTAAATTGTGATATATGTGTGTCAAATATAACAGACAACTGAAAAATAAACCCCAAATCAATGACTAAATATATCAAAATAGGCCAGAAATTAACTTTAAAAAGCAGTGTTTGCTTGCATGATTTGCTATATAAACAGTGGCCATATGTATATTAGAGTGGTTTCCCCTGAATCTCAAACTATAATTGTACCAAAAAAACTTAAACAAGATGGCTGCTTAAGTAAATGAGCTTGGTTGAAAACATCGCTAGTCTTTATTTTTTTACCGAAAAGTTTTAATACAATTGTTTAAAAAAAGGTACATGAATGAAACTTTGAAACATTTTTGTACTTTAAAAGATAAAATCTTCCTAAAAATGTTAAATAATTACTAAAATATAATGAGTCACCTTTTTTTCTCATACGATTTTACTTACCTAAAAGGTAGATTACCCACAAAAGACAACACATATTACACGTTAACACGCCAAGACCAACATGTAGTTTTTAGACTCAGAATTTAAATGTGCCAGACTTTTCATTTTGTTTAATAAATAGGTTGCTTTTGTTGTTGAACTCACAAACCAAATCTTAATAAAATGTGGATTACATTTTGAAATTTAAAATTGTCATATTTATTTATTTTATTTAAAATATCTGTTATTTTAAAGGTTGTGTTTTCTGTAACAGGGAATATGGCTCGCAATAAATATTATAATATTTGCTGTAACCTACGTTAACTACAGAGATGAAGATGAGTTTTACTATTTACGTTCATTGATTGGGGTATGTTTTTATTTTATATCAAATTTTTTGTTATTTACTTAAGAGGAGAAATTTTACCTAGTTCATTTTTATATTATCAGTTGTTATATATTTTTTTTATATAGGCCTGATTAATTCAAATTTTGACAATATATTATTTAAATTTTTCAGTCTAGCTATATTTAACAGGTATAGAAAATTTGTTTATTTAGAGAATGTTCATTTTTTGTTCTTCAAATAATTTAGATTTAATTGTTGGTTTTAAAATTATTTGTTTTTATTAGAGTTCACTCTTTTGGGCAAGAGGTAGTGCTGCATGTCTGAATTTCAATGTTATGTTGATATTAATACCTGTTTGCCGCAAGTTGATCAGTTTTATCAGAGGCTCATGTGGGGTAAGAAAAAATCTGAATAGATATTTATGTATAGATTTTTAAAGGTTTAAGTATCTTTAAATTAAAATGCTTTCCTGCTATATTAAATTTTGGGTATAGCTAATAAAAACTTTTAATTAAAATTTTATCTCGAAAATACACAAAACACACATAATTAATAATATTAAAATACATTTTTTTCCTCTAGTAAATGTGATAAATTATTAACTTATTAATAATCCCTTTTAACAGTGTTGTCCAAGAGTTTTGAGGCGGCAAATGGATAAAAATATTACATACCACAAGTATATTGCTTACATGATAAGTTTGCATACTGGTAATTCCTTTTCCTTATGATATAGTTTTTTTTTTTTTTATTATCTATAAATTTGATTAGAATAGTTTTCTAAAAATGCCAGAACTTTGTTTTAAAATTGTAACAAAATTTCTGATATTTTGTTTGTATAATTATTTGATCAAAATTGTTTCAGCTATACATATAGGTGCTCATTATTTCAACTTTGAGAGATTTGCAGAAGCACAGTTAGCAAAAGGGGATGATATTAGAAACTACCTTAGTCGTCTGCCTACAACATCAAATGGCAGCTGGTTAAATCCTATCCGTTCTTCTGACCCTGTAAGAAAAAAATAAATTTATAGAACTCAAGGTTATTGAAGATTTTAGTTTTTTGTTTTAAAAATTATAGTGTTCTTTTTAAAACTATGTTAACAGGATCCAACCAAAGAACTTTTTAAAACTGTAGCTGGTGTTACTGGAGTTGTTATTACTTTGTGTCTGGTTATTATTGTTTCATCATCCACTGAAATAATCAGGTATTCTAACTAAATTTTACAGAAGTACATAGGAAATTTTAAAATGGATTTATTATTTTTTTCAGTTTACTATTGAACCACTGGTAAAAATTGTTATAAAATTTGTGAATTAGAATTAACTGTTGATTGAGTTTTTGTTTTGATTTATTTCAGACGTTGTTATTATGAGTTATTCTGGTATGCCCATCATGTGTTCATTATATTTTTTTTGGGATTTCTTATTCATGGTGCTCAGTAAGTTCAAAATATGACCAGTGTTTACAAAAAAAAAAAAATTTAAATTACCTTTTATCACAAAGGCCAATAAATTAATTATTTCACATTATACATTTTTTAATCTTTAAAAATCTGGTTTTTTTTTTAAATGAGTCCGATTCAGCTGATTATATTTTTGTAATTAAATGAAATTTTGTTTTTAAATATTTTATAAATTGTACTCTTCTTACCACTTGTTTATTGTATTACATTTCTTTTCAGAATGATAATACATAAACAAAACAATTTATCTGTTCATCCAATCTCCATTTGTGCTGAGAAGCCTAAAACTTGGGGGACTTCTCCTTGTGCTATTCCAGAATTTGAGGGATCAATTCCAAATGTGTGCTTGCATTTTTTTTAGACTAAAAATATTATACATCTTAAAAGGAACTCTTTAATACCTTTAGGTTTAATGTGTTTTTGTTTAATTTCAGAGTTGGATTTGGCTCCTTGTGCCTGCTGTGATATACACTATTGAAAGATTAGCCAGATTTATAAGTGGACTTCAGCGTGTAGTAGTTACAAAAGTAATAGTCTATTATAACTATAACATTTCTAGATCATATTTACTGGTAAACTGATAAAGAGTTAGCCCTTAGTGTGTAATTTTAAAAAAATACTTAACCATTGCATTCCACTTGCAATACATTTACATGAGTGAAATTATGCAACATGAAGTAGAAGTGGATTTGTATTGTTTTAGGTAATAACTCACCAGTCAAGGGCTTTTGAAATTCAAATGCAGAAAAAAGGATTCCATGCAGCACCAGGGCAATATATTTTGATACAGTGCCCAAGCGTGTCTAAACTGGAGTGGCATCCTTTTACTTTAACTTCTGTGAGTAGTATTTATACTATATCTAATTGCATTCACATCAACTTCACATTATTTATTATTTATAGTTTGATGGATTTTAGTTCACATGTTCAAAAGTCATTGTTTTCAAACTATATTTACTCTTAACATGTATTTTTATTTCAAGGCACCCAATGATGACTATTTCTCTGTTCATATTAGACAAGTTGGTGATTGGACCAATGCATTGGCTAAACATTTTGGTGTGGGTGGAGAATTTAGAGAGCCTTCACAAATGCCAAAGTTTGTTGTTTTGTTGCTTGGGAAGATTTTATTTAACTTGTTTTCAGAAATTGTATATGAATACTTACATACTAAGATTTTTATTTTAAAACTCACAATTCAGTGCTGTATATAATGCACTGAGTATCAAGAGAAACACTAATAAAAGGTAGAAATATTCACCAATACAATGAAACAATGTCCTGATATTAGTTGTCAGTAGGAGATATCTAGTAAACAAACTGCTTACAGCTTGAGACATAGTTTTAGTTAATGGATTAGTGTAAATGTAGATTTTGGTAACTTCAATCAACTTGCTTTTGATATGCTTTATTGTTTTTACAGGATTTATGTGGATGGACCCTATGGAACAGCTGCTGGTGTATGTTATTGTTTTTATTCCTCTATTACTGTTTTTAAGTAGACTCCCTATACTAAAATGGAACAGTTAATTTATTCTACTTTTAAAAAGCATTTCTACTGTATTAAAGTCTCTTTCATGACTTAAAACATCTGTTGTAATACTTTTGTATAAATCAAATGACTATCTCCAGGATATCTTAGACTATGATGTGGCTGTTCTTGTTGGATGTGGCATTGGTATCACACCTTTTGCCTCTGTCTTAAAATCTGTTTGGTATGGAAAAAAAATTTTATTAAATATTTATAGTGTTGAAAATTATATGGTTTTCAGAGCTAGTATTGTATTGTAAAAGCACTAATCTATTAATAAGGACTTCTGCTGACTACTTGCTGATACATTTATTTTAAAACTTAATTTTAATTCTACATGATTATATTTTTCAGGTACAAGTTTTGTCATCCCAAGCAAACACCCCCTCTTCAGCGTGTTTACCTATTCTGGGTGTGTCCTGAAGTCACAGCATTTGAATGGTTTCAAGGACTTTTATTAGATCTAGAACAACAGATGAGACAAAGAAACACCACAGATTTTCTTAAGTACTTCATCTACTTGACGTCTAAATCATTGAATCCAAATCAGGTGACACACATCATTAGATACCCTTCATTAAGTACTCTCTTTGTGTATTTGTTTATTCTGTGGTAATGCAAATATTTGAATCTTAACGCATTTCACATTTCCATAGGCAAGAAACATTATACTTCATGATGAAGTGTATGACAATGATGCTCTGACTGGTCTAAAACAAAAAACAAACTATGGCCGTCCTCAGTGGGAAGTTGTATTTAAGGATCTTGCAGAATCACATAAAGGGTATTTCTTTTTTTTATAAAAACAAGAAACCGTGCACATATTTTACAACACAAAATTGTTACCATTTTTTTGCCCATAAGTTCATAGGTTTCTTGACCTTGGCAATAAAATATAGCAACTTTAGATCACCATTCCATTTTATATAATAGATTCACCCCACCCCCCACACACAGAACAATACACCACAAAAAGTATGTTTTGAACATTTGTATTAAACAAATGTTACTGTTGTGAGTTTTTTAAAAATAACTTTTAAAATGCCCTAATAATTCAGTACATTCTATTCTACAGACTTTCCACTGGTGTTTTCTTCTGTGGGCCCACAGGCCTCTCAACAACTTTACATAAACTTTGTAACAGGTTCTCTAACATGGAAACAAAAACAAAGTTTTACTATAATAAAGAAAACTTTTAAAGTCACCTTTTAAACATTTGTCATACTTTTATATAAACAATCTAAGCAATTATTGTATATAAAAAATCAGTGCAAACTGAAGTGCACTATTTATGTTATTTTGAGTGCCTTACTATTGTCCAGCACTCATTTGTAGCTTCTTTTAAATGGTAAATAACAATGTTGGGACAAACATTTTTAAAATTTGAACATAATTTTGAAGTTGAAAATGTTAAAACACATTATCTGTATTTTAATGAATATATCAGAATCTAATCACAAATGATCAATACTTTTATAAGTCTAATACATAGACTATTTAGTGTTAGATTTGCTAAGTAAATTTACATTAGCATTATTTTATACACTGAAGTGATTTAACATGTTTACATGTTCCATTTGTATATTTTTTTATATATATTATATATACACTGTTATTTAAAAAATTGTTGAGTATGATTTGTGTGATATCATTCACCTTCAGACTTGATTTTGAGAGCTGGGTCTAGGTATTCCACCAGCTTGTGTTTCATTCCATTTTTTTTTGTGTCATACCAATTTTCAAGATGTAACCTTGTCAAATAATTATGCAGCTATAAGTATGATAAATTTTCACATTCAATGTAGATGTATATTATTACAAGCTTGTTATGTCATATATATATATATATATTAATTTTTGTTATTTAATTACTAGAACAAGGGGGTTTTTACTGTTCAAATGGAAAATAAACTATGTAGAAAATAAGTATAAATATTTTTGTTTTTATTAGCAAATTATTAAAATATATTACAAATTGTATGATGGATGATTGAAAGTTGAAATCTTTTTTTTTTGTTCAAAAAGTGAGAATCTACAGTTGTTTGCTTAAACTAAAACTAACTAAAATAAAAATGAATTAACTTTATTTTTTTTAATGAATTAACACAACAAACAAATTGAAATAATAAATGCCAACTGCTTGTTTAATAAACTATTGCATCAACAGAATCAACTATTAAAAACAATTATGTACAATATATTCTTTTTCAGTTCCATTTCCCACAAATTCCTAGCCAACATTTTTATACATCATTCCTTCCTTTTTGCAGCTCTTTCTTCACTGCTTTTGACTTTTCTTTGAAACAATTTTACTTGCTCTTTTCTCTCTTTAGCTCTGAAGTATTCATGTTTGCCCAATTGCCAGTTCATAGCCTTGATAATGTCCACATCATCTGGTATCATAACATAACGAATTTGTCTACCTTGAATGTAAAATCTTGCATACTGATATGATCTGCCCACAACATCTGTGAGAACTACACTTGACATGTTCAGGTTCATATTTGATTCAACCATATCTAAAAAGCCTTTAATCACTTTATCATTACGGATCTCTACAGTTACATACTTTCCTTCTAAGGCTTTTAAAAGACATAGCATAGAGTTGTAAGCATAAAATTTTGAGCGAGAACCAACCTCTGCCATAGCTGCAGTAAAAAAACACTTGTATTTTAAGATCCTAGATATTCTGAAACCAGAAGAGTTATAATAAATTAGATCTAGATCTATGTATTAAAACTATTATGTATTATGTATCCATAAAATTTTAAATGCAATGTTTTAATAATGTTAGTTAACTGAACTACAACTTCATTTTGAAAGAACTCATTTTTATGATCATATTAATATTAAATAATTAAAATATAGATTCTAGATCAACTTTAGTAAGAATAAACAGAAATAAAGCACAAAACTGTTATTAATAAATAGATTCTAGATCTAAATTCTAAATCAATGTTTAAATGACAGTAGATTGAGTAGAAAGAAGCTATGTGTTCATACAACAGGTCTCAGGTCTGCTCTTGTGTTGGGAGTTGAAAAATATTTTAGTGCTTTTGGAGATGTCTGATAATTTCAAGACACTACTACTACTGTAGTAGTAATCTACTACTAGTCTAGATCTAGATCTAGATTTAATTTAAAAAACTACTAGATTTCTAGAATCTAGTAGAATAGTAAATAGATATCTAGATCTAGATCTAGTAGTAAATACAGTAGCGAGTAGATTCTAGATCTAGTTTAAGACCTTAAGTTTAGTTTAGTAACACATTCAGTCGCATTCACCACACTTCCGAGATATATTGAAATTCATATATTCGATTCTATTGAGTAGCTAGAGTAATAATAGTAATAATTAACTAATAGATCGATCTAGATTCTAGTTATAAATTTAATTTCTGATACAAACTAAACGACAGTTGAAGTAAACTTTGTAAGCAAATTCTACATGTCCCAATAATTGCTAGAGTTACCTCCCCTGGAAAACAAACTGCGATAAATATTAATTAGGCCGATTCTAGTCGGAATAAGATACGCATGCGATACGCATGCGCAATGGAGAGAAACTACGACTTGCCTTAGCGGCGATGTTTTCGATGGTACTGCGCATGCGTGTGTTTACAACCGCAGAACCCTAATACCAACTCTAATCCTATCCTTAACCCTATCCCTAATCCTATCCCTAACCCTATCCCTAACCCTAATCCTAACCCTAGCCCTAACCCTCATTCTAGCCCTAACCCTAGCCATAGGTCACTGCGCATGCGCAGAAGTATCTTTTGCCGAAAAATCTTATTCCGAGTAGACACTTCGTATTAATTAATATAGACTTCTAGGCCTAAATAATAAGTAGATAATAATAAGTAAATAAGATAGGCCCTCAATACTAAAATTAATGTTTCCCAAAGTTTCATTAATAAACCTGTTTTTAAACTATCCTATTAGGCTATTTATTAAAACTTTTCAGTAATGAACAAAGACTGGCGATGTTTTCATCAGATGCCACCAAGCTCATTTAGTTTAACAGCCATCTTGTTTAAGTTTTTTTTTTGTAAAATTATAGTTAGAGATCCAGGGGAATCCACTCTAACGGACAGATGGATGCTGTTCATATAGCAAATCTTGCTCGCAAACACTGCTGTTTAAAGTTAATTTCTGGCCATTATTGATATATTTAGCCATTGATTTGGATTTATTTTTCAGTTATCTGTTATATTTGACACAAATTATAATTAATATATGACATTATACTTTTATTAAAGCCTTAACAATGAGGCAACTTTTTCGCACATTACTAATACTAGCCTCTGCTGATTTTACTTAAAACTATAGATTACTGACTAGATCTATATCTGAATATATACTATTATTATTATTATATAGTTCTCTAGATCTGGTGTGAAATTCATCGCGGGAAAAATAGAAGAATTTTTAAAGATAGTCCTATATATGTATAATTGTATATATTATATATATATATTATATATTATAATATCTATATATATATCTATATATATATCTATATATATATCTATATTATAAAGGCCTATAGTCTATAGTACTCTATAGACTAGTCACTATAGAAATCAGTCTGAAACATCTTAGTAACTTTCAAAACATAACTCCTGGTAGAATTCTTTTTAATTTATTAGGCTACTACAATTTAATTAGTCACCTTTCTGTCAAATGAGAGGCGTAGCGAGGGGTGCGGACCGCACCAGCTGACACCATTTAGGGGGGTTACACCAAGGCAAAAAATAGTAAAATATATAGAGAAAAATTTGAGGGGGGTGCAAAACAAAATCTGAAAGTTTCTCCCCGGGAAGAGTCGCTACGCTTTTGGGGGGGGGGGGGGTGACACCATTAAGTGCCGCACCGGGTGACACCTGACCTCGCTACGCCACTGTGTCAAATTACTAGCTTCTGACAATTTTACATACCCAATTAATGCGATAGATTAGAAGTATCTAATACTCTATCCATCTAAATCTGTTATATTTTTTATATACTATATTTAATATATTTTGCTGGCTAAATGTGTCACCCCACCCCTCTCCAGCAATTTAGCAACTTTGGTTTGGTTTCACCCTTCTCTCTTTGTTTGTTGTAATTTTAACTAGATATAAATCAATTTTTTACAGTAAATTTGTTGGTTTGGTGTCGCCCCCAATAAATTCAAATGGTTTCACGTGGAGCACCCCCACCCCAACTACTGACCTATTTATTATGAAATAATTATTTTTAAAATAACAAAAGATTCTTCGGATTGTGACAATTTGTAAATGTTGAAGATTTAAAAAAAAATATTTTTTACTACAGGAAATCACAGTTACCATGCATTTCCAAAAGCTGGTTGATAATGTAACATGTGCTTTTCATGCTGAAGTACTTAAGCTAGAAAAGGTTGCTTATATGTTGTTGTTGTTTTTTATTTATATTTTGTAATATATTTTATAGCATAAAATTATTAAAATAGGCTCACTATAATAATGCTAAAGAGTGAGCCCTTAAACTAAAGAGTATTAAGTTGTAAAAGTAAAAGGCCTTGCTTCTTCCATCATTTTTTTTTAAATTGATCATTTTTGCATAAAGTCAAGTGACAAAGTATATGATTTTGTGTTCTGCTATTTATTGTTTCAAAAATGTATATAGTAAAAGAAATCATATGACTTCTTTTTATTGTTTCAGATGAAAAATGATGTCTCTTCCACATTTGTTATTGTTTCAAATCATCTAAATTCTTGCTTGAAGTTGTTAAAGGAAATGAGAGGTAACAGAGCTTTCTATGCATGTGCAGCCTAATATAAAAAGCCTTAATTTCAATAATTTCTTTTCTTTGATTCTTTGTAGTGCAGATATAAAATAAAAGCTCATTCCTAATACTTAATGTTATATTTCTAACAGTATGGCCCCCTTCTGTTGACATTTTGTTTCCTGAGCTCACTTTAACATGTAATTATTTGATCCTGAACACATCTTATAAATCACAAGGCTGCCACTTAAATGAATTTGAGGTAGAATGTGTAGTATCCAGGGCATTAAGTAGAGGTAAAACATTAAATATTAAATGTTAAGTTTATTTCTTGGATTAAACTTTGCCAACCTTACTTTTTTAATAAAATGTTTAACATTTAGACCTATTTGAAAACAAAATATATTTAGGAGATATCATGTTAACAGTTATTCATTTAAAAATTAAGTGTGTTTATTTTGGTTATGAAAAATATCTCTATTTGTATAGTGCATACTAATTTCTGAAATCTATTTCATGACTTTAATTTTTTTCAACAGTTTATCATTTGGGAAAAAACCCACAAAAAACCCAGCTTTTATTGGATTGCATTACAGATGTTGAGAGTGAACTTAGTAAAATCATAGAGGAATTAAAAGATCCATTTTTACAGTTTAGATGTGAGTTATAATAATTGTAAATAAAAATATCTTTGATCAACCAAATACAGATAGAATTATTGTAATTGAATTTATTTTTATTTCAGTAGTAAGAATTCTTGGCAAGCTATTGACAATGTGTAGTATCTTCAGCATTTATAGAAAGCTTCAGGGAGACACATTGAAAATAACAAAAATGTTTAGTCTTCTTGACAGTTTGAAGGACTTGGTGGATCAAACTGTAATGAAAGTGAGTAAATCCTTGCTTTATTGTAAAAAATTAAATTATTAAAAGCCTATTTAATAGTTTGTATTTATTTGCATATGAAATCATATCATTTATGATTTAATGCAATCTATTGTTTTGCTTGCTAATAATTAAATAGGATTGAAAAGTCTATGTAATCATACTAAATTTTTATAAAAATCTTTTTAAAATACGGCATGCCATAAAAATTATAGTAATATTTAAAAAAATTAAAGCCTTTTCTGAACCATCAATTACACTCATTTTCATATTTTTGTGTTGAATATAAGCTATTGAAAAGCCGTTTAGAATTATTTTATCAATTCAAAGATTCCTTGAAGTCAACCAGAGTGGCTAAGGAAAGTAAAACAATGAAAATCACAACAATTGTTTTCCATACACAATAGCAGTCATTGGGTTAAAGCCTATTAGTTTATTTATATGAAATAATATAACATCCTCTCTCACCACAACACCCTGACTCTACTAGCTTCTATTACATTTTAAGCTTCAAAATATACACCACCATCTTAGCTTTTCTTAGATATGTTTTTGTGTTTATGCATAGAATTTCAAAAAACATATGATTAAATAATTTCATAATTTATATTAGCCAATTTTTTATTGATAGATTTTATTATTATTTATACAGTTGAAACAATTTGAACAACTTTATTTACAATATATTTGTTAATTATGATCAAATATTTAAGTCAGTTATGAAATTTCACCAACTGAAATGATGATCTATTATATTTATCATTTTAAAAATCTGACTATTTATGTTTGTACACACCGAAATGTTGATCTATTACAAATCTGACTGCTTATTTGCAGGAAGTGCTACCATTTAAGCACAACCTATTATTATGTGAACAACCACCATCAGATGAAGATAAGCAATTTCCATGTGTAGTTGATGTGTTACAATTGGTTTTGTCAGCGTGTTTTGGCCACACTAATGATTCCTGTCTTCAGTATAAAAAGTGGGAATGGTTGAATACAGTTTTAATTTGTAAGTTTAATGTTACAGCAATCAGGACCTCCAAGATATTTTTAAAAATTTTATTTATCACATTCTACTAAAAGATATTATACAGTGTTTTCTGTATCAGATGGTCTTTTGTGCTACAATAAGACCACACCCACTTTTGTTTTTTGAATTTTATTTTGTTTCAATGTCTCATCTTTTTTAACATCTATGCAAGTCACTTTTATTTTTCAAATATCTTGTGATAAATTAAATGACTAATCCACTATGCTTATTAGGTGAAAAACTTAAAACAGAGGAGAAAGTTTCTCAAGCTATTTGTAGAATTCAAACATGTTTGTCAGCCCCTTTAGACCCTGAGCACAAGTCAAAGATACTATGTATGTTGGCCAAGTGTTATTTACAGCTTGTAAGTTTCTGTGTTGGTTGAGCTTTTATAACATCACAAAGTGCAACATCATGTATTTCTAACTTTACTATTTTACTTTAGTTTACTATGCTTGCTTAGGTATTAATGAAGTAATAAAATATTTAGCTTTAATTTTAATAACATTTTTAGACATATATTTTAAGATGTTTTTTTAAATAGAAGTTTATTTTCTATCTCCAGGGATATTTTCAGTTATCAATACAGACTTGCAAAGAAGCTTTGAATGTTTACAATAAAAATTTGTATATTTTTGAACTCCTTGTTAAAGTATATCAGCTGTTAGGACTTGAAGAGCTAGAGTTAGAATCATTAAACTTATTAGTACAGGTTTGAATAATTGCACTTATTAAGTTTATTTGAAGCCATTGTTTAGACTGATATATTGTCAAGTAAATAGTGTACAAAAACTGATAATTGTTTTTAAGTTTACTTTTGTGCTTTCTGTGGTTGAGTTTTAGGGAATAAAATAATAAAAAAAAAATTAAGAGCAGTAATCTTATTGATCTTTACTTATGTTTAATGACTGAACCAGATCTAATCAGTTTTTAACCACTTAAAATGAGAACTCCAAGATAAATCAACAGAATATGACCTAAAGATTTAGGCAATAATTTTCTAAATTTATTTCCTAGATTCTAATGGATAACTATTTAAGATACCAGCCAAGTATATCTACAGTTGGACTTGATGATGCTATAATTTTAGTGTGTAAAATACTTCCTGATCCATGCCTTATTGCTACTATGCATAAATTTGCTAAACGCTGTTTTGATCTACAAAGGTAAATTTTTTTAAAAATAAGGTTTAAAACACTACTCAGTGTTAACCTTGATTTAATTATATTTTTTTTTTTATTTGTCAGATACAAAGAGGCAGCAGAACAATATCAGGCTTTAATGAAATTCCTTGAAAAAACTGAAACACTCTCTAATGTAAGTATCAGTCTTTAAAATTAAAAATTAAGTGCCCAGTAAAAAAATACAATTTTTATTAATAAAGAATGAATGGATTGCAAGGATGCAATCAACAGCTAATGTTTTTTTTTATCAAATTAAATCATTTTGTACCTGAACTCATAAACAAATTAATACAAAGCAGTTCAGTTTGTTTTTTTTAAATATCATATTTCATTGAAAATACTAAACATTTAATATCACAACTTTCTTTGTAATTTTAGAAACTGTATAAAATCTGCACTCAAAAGTACTCAGGAGTATGTGATATTGTGGTGGAGACTGCAGAAGCATTGGCTATGGCCCAACATTATGATGAATGTATTGTACTTTGTGATAGATTTCACAACACATTCACAACAGATGACACTTTTTCAAAATTATCTTTCAATGCTGCCAAAAAGGTACATCCTGGCAACAGTAGCAATGCTGCTAGTCCTGATCTACCATATTCTCAGGACAGCTTATTTAGCACATCACAGGATGCTGACTTGTTAGAAAGTCAACCTGATAGTGAAAAAGATACCTTTTTTAAAGATCAGACCCTATTTTTAACTACGAAGTTAGCCTCAAGAAAAAGATTGAGACATTCATCGGGTGACAGGGAGCAGCTTGGTGAAAAAAGCAGTAGCAAAGACACTGAAGAGTTTCACTTCCAAATGCTTAATACCAGATTGATGTTATCTAAAGCTGATTCTCTTGTTGCTAACCAGGGATACTCAGATGAGATGATGGGCTGCTTGTTGAAGTAAGTGCTTACAAATGTATGCTTTTGTGCTCTTTATTATTTAACTGTGAAATTTTTTTTGCTACAAATGTGATATCCTTCATGGTGTCTGATCTAAGCATTTTTGCTCAAGCATTAATTTCAAGTGGTACCACTAAATATGCTATTTAGGATGCCACTGAGTCCACCTAGTGCTGATGTGTACCTGACAAGGTAAGGAAAGTAAAGGTCGCCAGGCATAATGATGACCAAACTACCACTTTATATGCCAAGGCCACAGAAACTGGTGAACTCTATTGTATCTACCTTACCCCATGGATTGTCAGGTCTGAAAGGGTGACTTCAGTTGTATTATATATATTTATTTATTTATATATTATTTATTTTTTTTATTTACAGAGCCTATAATTTGTTGGTAAATTTACAAGTTTCAATTTTTAACACTGAGGCTGAACCAAATAATAGCTGCATTAATAAACCTGTCCTTAAACGTAGGTGTCTAAACTTGGACTACATGGACAGTCATACTTCTTTACTTTCTGAAAATAAATCTCATTCCTCATCTGATGTTGACATGGATAAGTGGACACCAACAGCTGAATGGTCAAAATTAATCATTTTAGTAGCTCTTAGGATAGCAAAAGCTGCTTTAGAACGAAAACAAATATCTTCAGTTCTTAATGTATGCAAGCTTATTTTAGAATTAGAACCACGTAAGCACTTTTCTTTCCCTTTGTGCAATGTTATGCATTTGTAATATAAATCTTTTTTTAACTGTCATAAAGCTATTGTGAAAGAGTAAAAATTGTCTTTGTTCATATTTATTTTACAAAACTAAACCCATGTTTTATCATTGTGACAGAAAGGATTTGCATTTTTTGTATGAAAACACTATTCTTTGTTGTTATTTGACAGAAGAATTTTAATGAAATTGAATTTATTTTTTATTGGTTTAGAGATTAATCCAATAATTTTAAAGCTTATATTTTTTTATTCTATTATCTCACAAATCACATTATTTCAGATAATCTCAGTGCTCACTATTACAGAATTTTGGTAATGAGAAATAACAGCCGTCTAAAAGAAAAGTTCAGCGAAGAATGGCTTCAAGAAAGATGCATTGAAAAATGCAAGTTAGAAAATCAATACAAAACAATGATGGAAGAAATGGATATGAAAATTAAGTAATTGCCTCTTTCAAGACTTTAATTCTGCTCTTTTTTAATAAATGATGGTCTGATTTTTATGGGAAGCAATGAAAGGGTGAAATAAGTGTAAATCAAATGTTTCTTTATTCTGAAAGATATACTCAAGTTAAAAAAAAGAGATGCTTCATTTTCCAATAGGTTTATTTTTCTTCTTCACAGTTAATGTAATTATAGTAATCCTACATTATTTTTTTCCATTTAATTCAATTACTTTTGAAATATCACACTTTTACTTCAGGAGGCAGCTAAAAGAGGAACAAATTTGTTACTGGTGGCAGCCAAGGGAAGCCAAGCTGTTAGCCATGGACATAGCCTGTATTAATGATTTATACAATAAATTTAAAAAATGACATTTTTTAGAATTTGATTTGTGTGTAGTGTTGTTGTATGTTGCAGACAAGTTTCAACAATATTTTAAAATACACATTGTAAACAACATTGTATGTGATAAAGCACATTTTTTAGGACTATGTCCTATCTCTGCAAATCCAAGTACAAAGGTTACTAGCCACAGAAAAGCAAAGTCAATTTTTATTTGTTCAGATGTAACTGCAACTTTAAATGTGCGCTCCCCTAGTTTTTCAACACAGTGAAAAAAAGTTAGGAATAGTGTGTGCATGTGAATCATGATGTGATTTAGTAAAAATAAACACCTTGCTAATTTACTTCTTTTATAAACTATGACCTGTTGGTTGGTTTTTTTTTTTACATATTTTAGAATTATCATTTAAAATTGACACCCTTAAATTATGTCACAACCAAAAAAATTCTACCATTGTTATTCTCCCTTCAAAAAGCTCACCAGTCCTTAAGATATACATACTTTTAATGAAAACCAAAAATACTGTTAATTGTTTATATTTCTAAGAAATGAAAAATCTATGAGACATCACACATTTTCCTAGTGCCCCGCCCCCTCACAGACCTTTTTAGTTCTCCTGATACAAAACATATATGATTCTATAAATAGTCAAGTAGGCCTAATCAGCAGTGACTTAAAAAAGAAATCAAAATTTATTTGGTGACTGTTGCTGTGAGGGGTGGTGGTTGAAAATCTAATATTAGGTAGGCCTAAGAGACACAATTGAAAATATATTATCAAGACATTATTTTAAAAGGCCTAAAATAATAAGCTAAAAAAACAGTCATCCATGTACAGTGTGGACGTACCTCTTAATTTTTGAATATTTCAATAAAAAATGAATTATTTACAATATTGTTGGTACATAGATTTAGAAAGTTTTTTTTTCTTTAAATATAAGTAAGATCACATAGATTCTATAATAAAGACAATTATTTTTAGTTTACTGATCGACAAATAGATTTCTAAGATCAATATCTAGTTTGGCTTTTCACAACAACTTTTCCTGGCATGAGCATGCGCATTAGAAGGTCAATTTGGGCGAGGTCTCTACGTCATATCGAATATAATTTTCTGTTTATTTTCGCCGAAATTGAATCGGCTTCTTAGGTGTTCAGAATGTCTGCTAACGGTGGAGATAGTGAAACAGCCATGCAAAAATTTGAATTATATATCAAGGTACGTTATTCATTTTTACTGAGTGCTTTAATTCACTCATGTGTTAGTCAAAATAATGAGAGGATCGGTGGTTTATTAGTCAGACCAAATGACGGAAGTTGGAGGAGGGCAGGACCAAAAATTTTCTAAGACGATTGGCCTGATCAAAAAAAAAAAAAGCTTACTTAAAATACTTAGCATTACTAACATTAATAATGAATAATTGAAAGCACACAATAAATAGCCGAGATTTCTAGATCTTAAATTTATGTTTACTAGATCTAAAGATAGTCTATTATACTCACTATTATTAGGGAGGCTCACTAACTTAAAAGCGTCCTTGGTTGCTAACCAGAACATGGCGTAAGGATCGGACCATGACTTCCGGCGAGTTTTTCGACTTAGTTCCAGAGACCTTCTTAGAATTACTTTTAAAAATGTTTATCACGAGTAAAATGGCGGGTTTTCACGTTATAAAAACATGCTATAGGTGGCAAGGCTAAATATGCCAGAAAAGCATTTTCAGAAATTGCTTTGGGGAATGTAGGCTAAATTTAAAGTCGGTGTCATTCAAAATAATTTAACTTTTTAAATATAGATCTCCCTCTCACAAAATTGATTTCCAAAGTAAAGCATTATTAGTTTTATCATTCTATGAAAAAATAAATCAAATATCTTCAACACTTTTTTTTATAAGATGTGTCCAAAAAATGACAACCAAATTTTTTTATTTTTTTTGACCACGTGACCGCTATTTGAATGGATACGTTTACCTGGCATGGTTTTTTATTTTGCTCTTTTGTTCAATAAAAAATGTTATAAAATTAAAGAAATAAAAGAATTCAAACATCACTTCTGTCTTGTCTTTTTTAAAATTCTTTTCTGATGACATTCTCTTAAATTTTTTCCCTCTATAAATATATCCCGACGATAGACGGGCCAATTCTACTTTTAGGAACTCTCTTGTAAAAAAAAATTAGATCTATTTCACGGTCAATTAAAAAGTTAAACCCTTCAGCTTTTAAGCAGGTTGTCATGGATGGATCCCTCATACCATAGCTGTGAGTGACCAAAAAATTTAAAATTCAATAATTTAGTCTAAAACTTGCAACAACTCCCAAAATTAGTGCCTAGTGGATAAAGTATGGACGTTTTTTATTTAGTTGTCATGTTTAAGTTGAAAATTGAGTACATTTCAAATTTACTAAGAAAATCTACTATTATCATGTGTAATCACTTGACTTACACACTCGCCACAACACTGTCCTGTGATTATGAACTGGTTTTTTTTAGGAGGGCCTAATCTAATTGTGTGTAATTATAAATTTAAAATTACTTCAAATTTAGCCAACTATCATTATTTTATTTTTAAGTCTGGAGATCCAGAAATCTAGAATTCTAGATAGAGATCTAGAATCTACATTTAACAAAATTAGATTACTCTAGATAGGCCGTTCGTTTCAATGCTTCCGGGTTTGTCATTTTCGTGGCATCTCACGGCTCATGCGCTTACTAAAAATGGCGACCAGTTTCGCTTTAACTAAACGGTAGAGGGATAAAACTAATAATTACGAGACCATCGTTAATTTTAGACATCGGAACTATCCGTTTCTATTTCAGTCTGTTATTCAAGAATTCCCAGATGTACTTTTGACCTAATTTCTTTGTTTGTCTCGCAAGCGACGCGTTAGTGAAAATAGCTCTATGAATTCTTGTCTTTTATATAAAAAAAAACTCTTACATATCGCTTCACGGGGCAAACCAGCTTATGTCAGATGTAAACTCTAAAGTATTAATTGTACACACATTACAATTAACTGGTAATAATTTATTGTGTTAATGAGATATGTGCTTGGGTAGACGATCACCCCCAATAATGCCATTTTATTATAATCTTGTTTAGTGAAAACGAGGCGCGGGAAAATGTGTGCTGCGCAAGAATCCAATCATTTGGCTAGATTTATGACTGTTTTTTTATGTCACACCTAAAAATAGAATGTTTACGCTTTCTTCATTGATGATCGTTTTTATTATTTTTTAAACTGAAAGTATGAATTATTAGTTAGATTGCAGGTTTTTTTAACTTGGTATACTTACCATTTATCAATTTTAAAAGCATAGCATCCTGATTGTGTACAAATATACAAATATAGTCATAAAACACATAAACATTAAGTTATAATTGCGATGTGCCACACCCGGGCCACACCCCCTCAAGAAAACACATGTTTATTAAGCTGTTTATCTCACTTTACAACAGTAATTAAGATTAATTTTCAAATTTTTATCACTTATTGGGTAAGATTAAGCACATGTTTACTAAAAATAAAAAAAAGACAAAAGCAAATTCTGTTTTAATGAAGGTCACGGGTCAAGTTTTTTTTTCCTTCTGTCAAGTTCAGTGGAGGGTGCCACAGACTGACCTGACTTTGGAATTTTTTTCAGTAATAATGACTTTACACAGAAAGTTAAAATATGCTAAAATAGCTTAGTTTACTAGTGTTCTAGCTATTATTGATACATTTTTTAAAAAAAAATCATTCTGTAATTCTCATCAAAAAGCGTACTCTAGAATCTAGTAAAAAGATCAGTAATCTCATGATAGTTGACGATAGGCCTATAGCGTCGGAAATTACTAATTAGCCTATCCTGTACTGTACTGTAAGGCCTACCCTTAAACTGTAGGCCTAAACCACAGTTTATTTGACCATAAATAAAGTCAAGTGCATTTAATTAACGTTTTAAGTTTAATTGACAAAAAATTAGCAGCAATTAGGCCTAGTGGCCTATTAGATCTAAATCAGTTATCTTAATATTAGGCTAATAATAAAGTCGAGTGTAGTAATTGTTTTGGGGGATTTTTTATACTAGTCCAATTATAGCATCTTCTTTAAAAAGGGGTGTTAGGTTACTGTAAGTTAACTCAAATACACACATGGCTTTCTAATATCAATGCTAGCCTTACCCTAATTTCTAACCTTAAAACAAGTCAAGGTTACAATACTATTAACAACCGTACACGCCTATTTTATAGAGAATTCTATTTATGAACTTCAGTATCTTAAATCATCCAGTGTTTTTTAAGAAACAGAAAAAACTTATAGAAGATTTGTGACAATTATAATGAAATAAAAGATGAGATCTATTACTACTAAAGTAGTAAGAAGGACTAGAATATTAGCAGCAATAATTAATTAGCACGTACAATTAAAATAATAAAAAATACAAAATAATTAGCAAAACTGTATTTAAAATGCAACTGAAATCAATAGGCCTATATGCACATTTTTAAACAATAGGCCTATGTATTAAAAATAATGTCGCCAAATAAAATGTTTTACAATACTTCCTGTGTTTTACCGGAGCTGCTTGACAGAAAACGCTGTGGTTTTACTGCTTTTAACTGCTGTATCATTCCAGAAAAATAACCTGCGATCTCGTGAGATTACCTCTAGATCTAGATATGCGATTTTAAAAAGTTCAATTGTTCTGGAGAATTATTCTAGATCTCTATCTAGATGCTTATAACTACTAATTAGTTAGGTGCTAGGCTCTCAATTTTAACCCAACAGAAATATTTTTAGTTTACCACCCAATTGGAAAACAAAGATAAAAATCTAGTTGAGACTAGATCTATAAACGTAATATAGAATTGATATGCTACTCACAAAGAGTATAAGGTCCTAATAAATTTTTTGGTGAATTTTTTATACCAGTGTCCAAAATTAGAATCTCTTAAAAAGGGGGTGTAGGTTACTGGGAGTTAACAAAATACACATATCGCTTGCTAATGTCAATGCTAACCCCAGTCCTACCATACTCCTAACCCTAATTTCTAACCATACAACAAGTCACGATTACAATACTAACACTACACACCTATTTTCTGTTTAATCTATTTTCCTCAATCATCTAAAAACATTGAACATATTCAGTTGCAAAGTATTTCCTTAACTTATTAGGTTAACATAGCACCAAATTTTTGGCCCAATGGACACAAGCGAGAAAACTCTCAAAGGTATTTGAGAGGTGCATAAATTAATTTAAAAATCTTGCACGGCGTAGTTACAATTAATATGGTTATAAAATCCTGTCTGTCTGGTTTTTTTTGGACTTTACTAAAGATTGGACGTATTTGATGTTTTTAATATTTTCGGTAACTAAATAAAAATTAAAAAAAAAAGCAAAAACAATTTGGTTTTCACGTGTAATGGCGACATAAACAATGGCATCCTGCTATTGGATAGGCCGCCATTGATTTTATTGTACACATTGTAAGCTAAAAATAGAAAACTAGGTCATGGGGTTTTAAATTTGCATTGTTATTTAAAATCTTGATCTGCAAAGTTTTGTAAACAAATATTTATCGATCACTAAGTTACTGTACAGCCAATCAATATTTGTTTTACGAAAGTGAAACATCCGGTTGTTATAACTTAGGCTTGATGAAAATAAATAGAAATGTAGCCTTAAACTCAACAAATTATTTTCAAGTTCTCTGGATTTGCAACTTTTATAGCATTTATTCTAAAAATATAAAATTTCTAAATTAATTTTAGGCTCAAGTTTTTATTTTTTATTTTTTTTTTAAAGTCTAAATCTAAAAAGCACGTTTTTATTCCATGTCAACAACACTATGGAAGGAATCTCGTCAACTCGCTTGTCTCCATTAACATTTAGTAGTGTTACTTTCATAAATTAATAATGCTACCCCACTAAAAATGTAAGCCTAAATGCTCCTAACAACTAGATCTACCTACTAATAAATTTTCAGAGTAAATAATAATGTCCAACAATAAACTATTCCAAAAATAGGTGTTAAGAGAAGGCATTTTGGTAAATTTTTACCTAATTGAGTAGGCCTTATTATCACAACATGATAAAATACACATAAAATTAAAGGGCATGAAGAGATATTCACCTAACCACAAAAACTTATTTTTTGCTTTTTTTTTTTTTAATGAATTTTTAAAGTTTTAGGTAGAACACTAGAACACCTTGTATTTCATGTAAAGTTGCAAAGTGGTTAAGCTTCATTGAGTTCCAAAAACAATATTTAGGTCCTTAATATTTTTGTTAGGAACTGTTGATAATGTACGCTACATCATCAAAATTGAATAAAGTAGAGATTTGATAAAGTCAGTTTGTAAATAGAAGTAATTGACCTCAAAAAATATTTTTTGTTAGCATGGTCTGTATTTAAACTAGAGATTAGAAATCAGGACTGTTTTAAGTATAAGTACCATCATGGATTGTTTATATTGAGAATATTAGTAAGATACAGTCAACTTCAAACCAACCACATGAAATCAGTTCTGGATTTAATCTTATCTAACTAGACAATCATGATGATGACTTATTGATAGCTATGTTGTAATATAACTTCCATTTTTAAACATTTTCATCTTTATTAATATATATACTCCCTTCAATAGGGTGGTGCCATAGATTTTTAACTTCATTATTGTTCAAGATAACTTAAATAATGAAAAACTACATATGTTTACCTTTCTATACCAATTTTATTTATCCGATTTAATAGGTAGCCTAGAGAATGATTTGTGAAAAATCGCATTTGTTTTTAAATGGCTACGATGATATCACTGATACTCAATATAATACGGTTGGTTAGCATTCAAAAAGTTTTGTTGTGGCATCGTTGACCGTTCACTGCCATTCAACAGAAATGTGTCGTCTGCTAGATTTCTTCCCATTCAAATACACGGTGGACAAAATGGGCAGGCGTTAGCTATTGTCTCGATCAACTTATTTTTTGAAAGTTTTGTTTTTACCATGCATGATTTTGTTAAAATTAATGACATTAGTTTTTAGGACGTAATATGTAATTTACTATATTTTAGAGCATTTTTTAGCTAAATCCCAACAATATTAAATGCAGCAATTCATGTTTTGCTTACTTTTATTATGTTCTGCTCGATATTTTCAGCGATTAGTCAAAAAAAATTACAAATGGCAAGTTTGCATCAAACAAATCATCCTTTGTTAAAACTAGATTGGTATAATTGAATAATAATCAAAAATAAAGATTAAGTATATATTTCTGAAATGACCATGAAACATTGTTAAAAAAACTGATCACTTTATCGGCTATTCTGCAGCCATCATCATTATGAAGATGGTTAAAAAAAAGTATGTCACACCACATGCTACCTTTGATCTCTTGATTTATTTCTTTAATTACAAAATTTTAACCTAACAAAAAAAATCAAACCCCCAAGTTTAAGCAGTAAAACCAGAATTCATTAAACTCCAGTGAGCAGAAATTTGAAGGTTTTGACAAAGTATAAACAACAGAGAAATTTTTTTAAACTTAATTTCAATGCCTAGTATTTAGTCAAACATTGGTTTCTTAGAAATTTATGTAAGAGTTTGATTAATCTTTGTGTAAAATTTAAGGAGTTGGGTAAAGAGAGTTAAAATTATCACATTTTTTTTTTGTTTTATAAATGTGCCCAAACCATAAGTATGAAATAGTTGTAATTAAGTATGTAATAGTTGTAATTTAAAGTACTGACTTTTTACATGTTATTAAATTGTTTTCTTTCATCAGGCATCAGCTATAGATAAGGAGACTAAAGGTTCTTGTCCAATCTGCCAACAATTTTTTATGATGACATGTCTGCTTGGTGAAAATCAGGATGATATAGATTTTAAAGTTTTCACTGTTCAAGCTGATTGTCCACCAAAGAATTTTGCTGCTGGTTGGAGCAAAAAGTACCCTGTGGTCATGGTGACCTCAGGTCGAAACAAGATGGGTCAGGACATTAGTGGAATGATGTATGATACATTTGAGGAACTTGAAAGCTTCTTTGAAAGTATTAACAGAGAGTGTCCAGAACTGAAAAGGAAAAATGCTCCAAACCAAGCAGCCATGTTAGTAGTTGAAAATGTTTACAGGGTAAGTTCTGTCACTAATTATTTTTTAAATTTTATGTTTGTTTTATTGTTTTAACAAGTTTTTTTTTCTCCACAATCCCTTATGTTCTTCATTGATGTGTTTGAGTTTGTGGAACTTGTATCATAAGTCTACCCAGCATATGACTGTTTTTAGGCAGAGGACACTAATTCTTAATCATCTGTTTTATTGACCACTATGGTCAAGTAGAGAATTTAATGCATACAAATAAATCAGTCTTATTATAAACATGAAAAGAAGTGAGAAATCTGAAGCTGCTTTTTTTTCTGACTTGTGTTATTATGTCTCAAAACTTCACTTAATTCACTTTACCATTCTATTATTAAGACTTACATATGATGTATTTTAACAGATTGCTTCTCAAATTATGTGTAACTTGTAGCAATATAGATCATTTTCTAAACTTAAGTTCCAGTAGTATTCAAATATAGGGTCCAATTATTACTTTAAAAATGACTTTAAAAACGGGATATAGACCTAGGCTTACCTTGAATTTTTTAGGCTGCCTCCTCCCTTTCCCAACATCCCTTCACCCTCCAATCACCAACATTCCCCCTCAAAAAATCTCTCTAAAAGACGTGACAATTTTTGGGTAGACTAAACAAGCAGTATAAGTATAAGCCTATTTAATTTTTAAAATCACTCAAAACTAGTCACCGTTTTATTTTATTTTTTTAAACCAACATCTGCTGGTGTTTTTTTTTATAACTATTATTATTCATTTAGTCCAAACAATACTCGTTCTGTACTGGTCCATTCCGTGTGGCCACAGCCACGTCTGTCTAGATTATATACTTGGACACTGCTCCTCCTTTTATTATAGTAGTCGCTTTCGCGCAGGTATCTTTAGTTTTGTTACGGGGGGGGGGGGGGGGTTGACGACGACACAGTAGTTTTCTTGATCGACGTTTCCTGCTAGTGGTTTTTCTTCTGGCGTCTTAAGTGTGACTAGCAATGACTAATGCAGCAACAGTTTATAAATATCTCAGTGTTTACAACTGTATACAAACAGTGCTTATTCACACACTTTTTGAGATTTAAAATGCCCTTGTTTGTCGAGCGATCACAAAACTTGAGAATGAGTGAATGCGTCACCACCACGTGACTCACTGTTTTGTGCTGATAGGCTTTACTCCACCCAAATTGTAGCTGTTCACTGACTTTGTCTTTGTCCGATGTCTGCTTTTGACATGAGAGGATCACACTAATTCATGTGTATCCGCGCTGGGTTTGGTATTTGGTAGGCTGGTAAAATGGGATGACTCGAAGTTTAGGATTAAACAGTTTTGATCTACTAGCCACAAGCTGTTCATATTTAATTTCGATTTAGCGTTACCTGTATTTAACTCTTTAATTTAATTTTTGTACCTAGCGCATGTCGTTTAGTTATTATTTAATGTCAGTTGACTAAATAATGCAATCATGGGGGTGGGGGGTGTCTGGGGCTCCGAGTAGGTTATATACAGCTGTCACAATTTGGTGAAGCCCATGAGATAAAATGCATCCTACTGCGCCCACAGGAGCAGTAAAACGCTATTTAATTAGCAGCATTAAACGCGATAGTGCTTTCATTAATAGACGTAATTGAAACGCACTCGGTTTACCATACGTTAAGGTAGTGCAGAAGGTAGACGATCACAGTGACGTAGTCTATTTGATGGATGTCGTCTGTGTAGGCCCGAAAGTTTTTTTTTCTTTTACAGGCCCGGTCACCTTTATGTCGCCTGATAAGGTTTAGCTGCTGTCGGCGTGTGTTCACGTGGGCTAGTATTTTATAGAGCAGTTGTCGTTCCTAGCCGTCTCGTCGCTGTGTAATTAGAATAACGTTATCTTTCCCCTGAATAATCGCCTATATATTTTAAACCGTGTTGTGAATGGTCGTGTCGCTACACATGCGAGGACAGGCCGAGTGTTTTTGTTACGTTTCACGGTCACGTGTACGCTAGCGCTGTTTTGTTTTTGTCCTGATTGTAGGAGCTCTTACTACTCTTAGATCTATTTATCCTGTCTGTGTTAGATTTGAACTCATTGAATAATAGCGTCTTTCTCCAATACCCCCCCCCTCCCTCGCTATCCCCATTCGTTCTTTCTGGTTTCTTCTTGGTCGCCTTAGCTTCTGTTGTTGACTTCGTTTAGGATAGAAAAGAAAACCCATTCAATTTATTTGTTACGAAATTTAAATCTAGATTTCTAAAAACGTTCCAGGTTTACTTCATTTAAATGGAGGATAAAGCTCCTATGTTTAAAATTGCCGTATTCGTGTTTTATAAATAACGTTAGTGGTGTTTAGTGTCAGATCGGGCAGATAAGAAATGTCGCCGTTTCACCTATACTTGTCGTCGTCAGAACTGGGGAGGGGGGGGGGGGTATTTAAAGTCAAGCGGTTGTTTACATCCTAGCATAGAAAATGAGTTGGGCGGGGAAAGGTGTGAAGTTCGTATTCGAAGAGGGGTAGGGACGGGCTAGTCCTGCGGTTCGTGCCGTAGATCGCTACTCTATAGACACAAGTTGTGACGGGGCTACACGCTGAGTGGCCCCATGAAAAAAAAATCGCGTTTGTCATGTCTGTCGTAGGTTAGTGGAGATTTTGCGGATTGAAGCAAAATTCAAGCTCTGTTTAATCTGAATTCTTTAATTTCTAACTTGGTTGGTTTTAACTGACGTGAAAAATGGGTTGGTTTATCAACTGTTATCTTTCAGTTAGCTTTTATCTATTGTTAATTACTGCGTTGTTTTAATAATAACTCTTTTAATAATTTTTTTTTTAATTTAGTTAAATGCTAATGGGGGAAAACATTTTCTTAGCCAAATGATGGAATGCAAGAATATATATGTTGTCACATGTTAGGAAGTTTTTTTTTTTTTTAAATCTTTTTAGCGACCTGAATATTTGGTCTCCTTTTTTTTATAGAATAAATACTGTTAGTAGTAATGGATTTTACTTTCTTATCAATGGTGAAAAAATGACTAACTTTAACTGGTAATTGCAACAATAGGATTCAGTTTAATTTTAAAACTTCATATTACATTACTGTATTTTTCAAAATGTTTTTTTTTTCAGGACTTCAATCACTTCATTTCTGGCCAGCCGGAAAAAGGTTTACTTGGACAGTTGAAGAAGTTAAATGAATTTTTGGAAGGCCAGGATACCAAATTTTTGGTAGATAATGTGCTGTCATTTGCTGACTGTCATCTCCTTCCAAGATTACAGCATATTAGAGTTGCAGGAAAGGTGAGAGATGTGCATTCAAATTGTTACACTTTTGGAGAATATGAATTTCATTTCTTAATATTTAACATCATTTTTTTAAATTTAAAGATAAACTAACTTCTGTTGTTTTTTTTTTATCACAGGCATATCGTGACTTTGACATCCCTAAAGAGTTTACATACATTTGGAAATACTTAAAGAATGCATATGAACAGGATGCTTTTAAGTCCACCATGCCATCAGACCAAGACATCATATTTCATTATGAAAAGAAAGTCTCTGGTCCCCAAAGGAAGAAGGGGGGTAAAGCAACTTTAGAAAAATTCACATATTCTTGTGAGATCCCTGAAGATGTTTTAAAAATAATTGGTGGGAGTCAGTCAGTTGAAGAAGTAAGTTGTCTTTATATATATATATTTACTTAATTCTTTATCTTTTAGCATTCTAATAAAAATAAAGAACTAGTCATACTCATTGAAACATGATCAATGCCTTTATTTAATTTTTAAAAGATGTAGTATCTAATTTTTTAACTTTAATCTAATATTGACAATTAAATGAAGTAATAACTTAACTAGATTGGTATCTGGTGGTAACTTTTAAAATTGTTGTCACATAGTTGCTTTTGCTGTTAGGTGTGCATCTAGCTTTATGTAGGTCTGCTAATAAATGAAAGATTATGCTTCACTTGTGTCTAACTAAATTAGACATGGCATAAGCGACTAGTGAAACTACAAGGGACCACTTTTAGTGTGTAGTTTTAAATGAATAGATTTATTTGGATGATTTTGTCTTTTGCTTTTCAGAGCTAACTCTGTTACAGGTAATCTATATCTTCCTAACCGTAAATCATGTTATTAAATTGTATGCCATGCATATTGTTCTGGTTATGGTGTTGACTCTAATTTACAGTTTAGCTTTCAGTACTTTATATTTTTTTAAGAAGGTTCTGGGGCTGTGCTGTTGAAAATTAGTATATCAGTTAAAATTTCTTTATTTCAATACAGTCTTTTCTAACCATGTATCAAACTATCTTTACAAATGCATATTTAAATAATCTAAAGGGTCTCCTATGGTTACTTCTTACACATTACCTAATTTAATTTGTTATATTTTTAACTCATGGAATAAGTAACCTCAATTTTGAGTCTGCAAGTCCTTTTTACTTTACCCCTTTGTGGTTTGAGTATTATTTTTCAGTTGGTCATTTGGTTTAAGTTCCTCATGTTTTTTATCCTTGTTCTGTAGTCTAGTTTCAGATCAGTATGTGTAGTCAATTATATTTTAGGAGAATTTAGATGTATACATAAATACTTAGAAATGTTATGATTTCAGGCATGTGTTTTAGATACTACTACTGAATTTTGGCATGTGTGTGTAGTTGATTGTTTTAAATTGATTTATTAAAAAACAGATTTGGTTTTTGTCAGTTCCTCTCCCCATATTTCCCATCCTTCCTTACCCTCTCATCTATTAATTTGATAAGTACTAGATCTCAAAATGTGTGCATTCACTGATAATAACAAATTAATTTTAAATGCAGTTGAAGTCCCATTGAATGAGACAAAGATATTTTTCTTTTTTATATGGGCTTTTGAATCACATTTTTTATTAACTTTATCTTCTAGTGATAATCTTTAACCATATTGCTTTCAATTGCTCTTTTTATAGTTGGTTGTTTTAACAAGCCACACTCAGAAGCCAACTACATGATGGGTGGGGTATCCACTTTCTGATAACATAGGCAACTAGTTTTTCTTCAAGAAATAGGATTTATCTTGCTAGCAATACATAAGTTTTCATTGCAATAATTTTCATAAATATATATCCCATAATGATTTTCTTTGTTTTTAGCAAATATGATTAAATGTTCTGGGTATGAAAAGCTACTCTAGTTCTCAATTAGGACTTTGCTTTCTGTGTAATTGATAACTTTTCACCAATATATTACATTACATTAATTATATTTGTGCAATCACTCTTATAAAAAAGTTTAAAATAAATATATGAAATGAAATGAATTCAAGCCATGTGTGTATTGGGTCTCTTCTATTTACGGCAGCTACATAGTTGAATAAACCTAACTGCTGCAAATAACTCCTTTTTTCCCCATCTCTTTGCTGCTACCCTTCAAAGCTTAAAGTTGCTACTTGAAAACATTTCTTAAATGCTGTTTTAAAATGTAGTTTGAGCTACATTTTCATTTATAAAAGTAAATGTAGACTAACTCTTGATATAAATCTGCCTCTGGCACAAGGTTGAATACTAGTTTTATTGTTGGTTTTTTATTTGCCATGCATTTGTTTCCTAATAAACTTATGTCCTTTATTATGCAGTCTCTTCAATAATATTGAATAGCTATTATTCACTGGGAATTCATTTCCTAAGTTTGGGGGAAAATGTTAATATATTATTTGGTACTTAACTTTGTAATGATCATTCTATACCTGCTTATTGAAATAACTAGGTTCTATTTAAGTATAGTCATATGAAGCTAAATTACTGATCCAATAATTTTAGGTCCAAGAGACAGCATCACCATTGCCTGATCCAGAACCAGAGGCTGAAGAAGAGGAACCTGCAATAGAACCTGAGGCAGAAGCAGCAGAAAGTGGTGCTGATCCCTCTCATTGTGATGCTGATTTGGAACAAACAGAAGACACAACAGCTGAAAATGGTATAACTGAAGACAATGGTGAAGCTGACCAGACACAAACAGATGAATGTAATTAATAACTGACCTCAGTCTTGACTTTCTATTTAAAACTGTCTACATGAAGAATTAAAGTAGAACTTGTGAACAACCTTCAGAGTAAGCTTAGGCCTAATGCAAGTATGACAAAAATATTGGGGGGTGGGGGGATTCTACGTAATAATTCTGAAACTTATTGGTACTAGATATAAAATCGGGTTGATAGATGAATTGATAAATTAACTTGTAATGTTCACAAATCTGAGAAGATAAGTTAATTGTGTTTAGTTTATGTAGTGACATATTATTCTTAAAGACTGCTTTATGTACTGTGGTTTTGGTTTGTTTTGTTTTATAAATATTCTAAACTAATACTCTAAAATAGTGTTATGAATTGTTTAATTGTTAAAATATGAATTTAGAAACCAAGTTCTTGTAGCCAGTCTTTTTTTTTTAAAGTTTCATGTGCACATGTTTGTTGAACTAATCTGCTAATGCACAGTTTATCCTTAGTTTAGTGGCTCTGATTTTGAATTATTTCACTGGCGTCCACTGTGCATTCTAGATTTTTAAATCACAACTTCAATTACATTTCTGATAGTTATCAAATGTCTGTTCCTTTCTAGGTCCAAGTTTTAATTGATTTAGCAGAATGATTATCTAAACCTTTTTAACTGCAGCTAGTCATTGAATTCCTAAATAATCAGGGCCCCATGTCAAAGTAGTTACAGCTGACAAGTCCCAGTGCATATTTTGTTTTTAACTATTTGTTATTGTTGTTTTATTCAATGGGACCTTGACATTTTAAAAGTCTGTGCTCACAGGTGAATATTTTGTTACTTTCGTTATGTGTAATAGTTAGAAATGTTTTCGACAGCATTGGCAGTGTAATACACATGATGTATCAAACACACTGTTTTCTAATACAGAAATTTGGCATGGTTTTTACAAGTATGGGTGCATATAAGACTGAGCAAATAATCAGGATGACTTGGTGTGGCCTGGAACACATGTTGTTCTACATATTTTCTTAGTGTAGTCTACACTCTTTATAAATTGCTCGTCTTTCATGTCTGTCCGCCCACATTCAGTAGTTTTCTTACAAATTTTAGCAGTCAGTTTGGGTTAGCATTTTGTACATGTACTATTTATATGCCAGGGTTGTTGTATATGATAGCCGAGAGTGTGTTGTGAGAAAAAGCATTGGATGACACTTGTGAGAGTGTTTTTGGAGAAATTGTCTAACTAAATTGCAATATTATGTTATATACTTTTTATTCAACTTTTGTATCTTATGTATGATCGATTTTGTCTTCATATAATGATTAAAGATGGAAAAACCAGCATATTCAAATAAATTGTAACCTAGGGATCTTCTGTGTGCCAAATTTTTATACAAACAACGCCTTCAGTCATTGGGTTAACTATTCAGGTGGGCAAAGATAAGCAATAAAAGCATAGTACATTCAAACAGGAAGTATTTCAATAAATTTTAATTTCAATCACTAGAATCAATGTATAAGAACTTGGCACACTTTGCATTTAACTTTTTTTTTTATGTAGGCTAATTTATCTATGAGGTGTGTTGACAATAAGGTACCAAAGAAAGTTTTTATGACAACCTGTTGCATATAAAGCAAAATTTAACCTGTGCTTAATTTGCATTTGGTTCATTTTTTTTTTAAACAGCAATTTTTGTTTGAAATCATGCAACTGCACCCTCATTGTTTTTGACTAGGAAATAATGATCTTGTCAAAACTAATATTTAGGATCTATATTATCTAACTTGTATAACCACAGAGGCTTCATATTAAAATTATACAGCATGAGAACTGTCAATGTTAATGCATCTTGTTATTTATTCAATGTGGGTAAACTATTTGTTTTGTTTTTTATTGTATCAACTACTATCAGCAACAGGATCACTATACTATACTTCATTGCCACTTGTTTTAAATAACCAATGCTGGATTCAGCAGCTTGCATTTCTCCAACTAGATTTTGTTTTGTTTAAAAGAAAACGTCCAATAACTAAGCAAATCATAAGCTCTACAATAAACATTAAACAAATATGAAGAAGGAGAAATAGTTACCCATTTATTTTTTAAGGTGTATAATTTTTTTTTTTAATAATCCGTCTATGTCCATCTCTAAAATGTCACTTTCCTTTCTCTTTAAAATAGTCAGCTACCGAAAAAAAAAAAAAGAAATTTCAATTAGAAAAGCATAGCCTACCTTAATTTTTCAACATTTTTACTTTCTCGTATATACGAAGTATAGAGAAAGTATTGTAATCGTGCAAAAAAAAAATCCAGTCCAGATTTTTACAAATCGACGTTTTACACCTCACTGATACGGAAAAACATAATTACTTGAGTACCGTTACAGCTAGGTTGATGAAATTTCATATATAAGTATTTTATCAAAATCGTAGATCCTGATCAACTTTTGAGCGATTTCCGATAACCGGAAGTGGTACTTTTTCTACTTTGAATTTTTCAAAATCCTATAACTTGAGTACTATTTCAGATAGATAAATGAAATTTCACGCGTAAGTAAAAGATCTAATTCTCTACCTTCTGTCAAATTTTGAGTAATTTCCGTTGACCGGAAGTACTAATTTACGCAATTTCCGATTTCTCAAAAAACGCACGTAAATTTATAAAGTACTAATAATATCCCGTACTATTATGCACGTTTTATTAGGCGTCCACTTAGTGTGCAATTCTTTTTTTTTTTTACGAGATTCCATTCTATTATAAAAAGTTTAAGTAATTTAAAATGGATTACAAATATTGTCTATGTCCTGAGTTGCCATCCCTCGTAGTTTTATATTAGAATATCCGAGAAAGTTTAGGGAAGATCACTCCCGGTTTATTTAAGATGTATAGAAAAACCTAGCCTACCTAATTTTTCAACAGCCTCCACACACACGCTGGGGAACATGTTCTCTGTGTATGTGGCAATGATCACCAACGTCACTGTCTTCACTAGCACAAGCCCGCGTTTGTTCTGGAATTTGAATAACTCATAAGATCAAGCTGTGCCCTCGACTAGAACAGTAACGCTACACCGTGCTCGGTGGCCTTCTAGTGTAATAAACTATGTGACTCACACATTTAGCATAGATAGACTGCTTGTCTGCGCGAACACATTTGTACTGTTTTTCATCAAAATATATTCCTTCCTCTCGGGTCTGTGGCGGGTTCTTGAAGGCACCCAACAACAAGCTAACTTGGTCTGGGTAAAGCTGGAGGAAGAAGTGAGAAATGTGTGATTTACTACATAAACCAAAGCTGCAGGTAGAAGTGAGAAATGTGTGATTTACTACAAAAACCAAAGCTGCGGGGAGAAGTGAGAAATGTGTGATTTACTACAAAAACCAAAGCTGCGGGGAGAAGCGAGAAATGTGTGATTTACTGCACACACCCGAATATCACTTCACGAGTATGAACTAGATCTATAATCATAAAACAAGCAAATATAATTGACAAATATTTTTTTAAACTTGAAAGCTCAATTCCTAAGGTGGATAGTTAATAATTATGTTTCGGGAACCAGTGTATGTGTGTTTCTTTCGGGCATCTCTCGGTGGTGGGGGGTGCACGTCCATTATTCTCAATCTCACTCCCGAAACGAAACAGAAAACAATCATGATGATAAAGAAAATATATATTGTAAACAGTGTTTAAATATATACGCAGGAAAATTGAAAGAAATCTTGTTCGACATTCAACCGGTTGTGAGATACCACACGGATGATGACTTTACAGCCTACCTTTAGCGGCATAAATTCGTACATATACAAGTTGTTGTACACAGTGACCAATATGTTCAAAGCTTAGAAGAATGGAGACGTTTTTATGGCAGCTATTGTGATTCAGTGGGCAGTGACGTTCAAGCTACTGCCGTAAGATTTTATCTATTTCGTTTTGCATATTATGCTCGGGTCATCTTGGATCAAGACACAGGTGGCACTTGTTTTGTTCAGCCAGCAGAAAGAACATGTCGACCATTATCCTCCACACTTGAGTTGTCTAGCGTTGCCAAAATCCCTCCATTGTGCTGGCTGGGGGGGGGGGGGGAGGACAAGCATTGTGTTGTCTTCTACATAGGTACACACCTTTAGTATGCCTAGGTCTTTAGAGTTCGTTGTTTTGGTGGGTTTTTAAACGAGAAGTGTGCTGAAATCGTGTAGGTCGCCGATGTTTTCGTTCGTAGTCTGCTTAGTTGAGCGTTTGGTGTTTAGTAGCTAGCATGTGTGCCTTCAATCTGTTGAACAGTTATGTACTGCGTTTTGTGTTGTATGTTCAACGTGTGTTACAGTTGTGTGTTCAGGTGTGCTACATGTGTGTTCAAGGTGTGCTACAGTTGTGTTCAAAGTGTGCTACAGTTGTGTTCAAGGTGTGCTACAGGTGTGTGTTCAAGGTGTGCTACAGGTGTGTTCAAGGTGTGCTACAGGTGTGTTCAAGGTGTGCTACAGGTGTGTGTTCAACATGTGTTCAGTTGTCTGTTCAACGTGTGTTACAGTTGTGTGTTCAACGTGTGCTAATCTACCGTGTTGTGCACAGCTATTTAACAGTTCGTCCGTTACGACCATTCCCCTGTTTGCACTTATGGTATGGCAGTGATAAAATGTAAGCACCAGTTTCTTACGGCTGATCGCTTTGCTGTTTGTCGTCATGTAGGAGTCTATAAAGGAGTGTTGTCATAATGTCTTTTTGAGGTCGTGTAGGAGTCTATAAGTGGGTGTTGTCATAATGTCTTTTTGGGGTCGTGTAGGAGTCTATAAGTGGGTGTTGTCATAAGGACTTTTTGGGGTCGTGTAGGAGTCTATAAGTGGGTGTTGTCATAATGTCTTTTTGGGGTCGTGTAGGAGTCTATAAGTGGGTGATGTCATAAGGACTTTTTGGGGTCGTGTAGGAGTCTATAAGTGGGTGTTGTCATAAGGTCCGTATGTTTTGACTTTGCTGCACTGATCAGTCCGCTTGACATGTGTACAAAGCCTCGTTATGGAAATGAAATTGTTGTTCTTAAGAATAGAACCTTCCCCACTCGCAGCCCCTCCCTACAAAAACATAGGCTCAATTATAATCAGGATTAGTTTTGGCTTAACAAGAATTTTTTTATATTCTTAATTGTAAAATTGAAGAGGATTTCCCCCAACACAATTAAGTATTACGTGTCAACATGTTGTGTGCCATTTGGCACGTTGACTTCGACTTCAACCTACTTTTCTTTCTGGATTTGCTTCAATAGTCATTGTCCACCCAAGTTTGCAAAGCAGCCATTGATGGATTTAGGAGATTAATCAGCGGTCATCAATTTATGACGTCCACGCAAAGGGAGGAGGGCGGGGGTCCGAAAAAATCGACTTTAGTGGACTGGGAGTGAGGATATACGGGTCCATCTGGACGTCCATTAACGTCCATATGATGGATTTTAACATTGAAGTTCTTACATTTTAAAACAAACATAAAACTGGTATTAAGAGACGACACTGCCAGTTTTTTTTTCCAGGCATCTCTTCGGGGGATGGGGGGGGGGGGGGTTGAGGAGCCCTCCAACGAACATTTCCCCCCCCCCCCCCCAACGAAATAGAATTTATATAGAAAATATATACTTTTACCAGTGTCCACCCCCCGTAAATTTCAAGTGCCCCCCCCCCCCCCCGCCGGAGAAAAGGTGTGGAAGAAGCACTGGACACTGCTCCTTGTTGTATAAAAATAAAAACTACCTGAACGTGTATATGAATCACCGTATGTATAGATATAATCGTCAAAAAAAGCGTGACGTCATTTGATGACCCCTAATATTAATTATTAAAATTCATCCATTGAGTACAGCGATAAATACTTTTAGCAACTAAAAATAGCTTCCCAGCACTAGTACTCACGTTGAAGCCAAGAGAACTAGCCCGAACATTCCCGTCTTTTCGTCTGACAATGGCACACTGGTGGACGTGGTCCGTGGACACCAAGGCATCCTGCAGCAGGTTCGATAACTGGTTCATCTTTACGGCGTCCTAAGCAGAAGATACAAGTCATCGTCTGGTCAAATGTTTTAAAACACTGTAATGCGAAAACAAAATAAAATATTTAAAACAAAATCGATACACTTTTGTTGCCTACCAAATCATACGATTTTTTAACACCTTCTTCCCATCTATGAAAATTCATCATTTTCACAGAATAAATGCTTATTAAAGAATTTTTATTTTATTTTAAAAACAATGAATGTCCTCTTGATTTGGCCAGCTTAAAAGAACACGCCCATATAACGGGCCGATACACGGAATAGTGGATGGGGTAGACGCAGGCGTTCGGTTTTATCAAGGCTAAAAATAACATCTCGTCAAATCAGCAGTCAAAAATCAATAAGCTAATTAATCAATGTTCTAACAGATCTATACAGCTGTATCCAACGGTGATCGGTTATTGGATAAAACAGCCGGCTAGGAATTTCTTACCCACGAAATAGGATCAATGGTACCCAATTACGTTTATAAAGGAACATTTATTAAACTTTGTGACAATCATCCGAACTAATACTAAACACACGGCTATTGATACATAGATTTTGTCTCTCTAAAATTAGAAATTCGATTTTAAGCTTTGTGGACACAAAGCTCCTTCGTGCTTAAGCTATGTGGACCTGATAAGGGTGATACGATTTTTTTTGTAACCTTTTCTGTTGCTTGATTCAAAACTCCATATTGTATTTAAATTTTTCATTTTTCTTTTCCATTTAGTAAATACCCTGGTTTTGATATTAAGTAGCCATTGATATGCAACCCACTTTGAGCCCACACTATCCCCATGACCAACCCAACAACCCCCTTACATGGCCAGGGGTGGATAAATCCTAATGGGCTCACAGGAGCGCCGCTGTATTAGTCCTACTAGTGTTTAAATTTGTTTTAATTGTTTGTATTTTACAGTTTAACCATTCCGTCAATCATAGTTTATATCAAGGCGTAAAATTCAGGCCTTGGTGGAGAAATAAAGAGGGAGTGATCTCCCATAAACTTTCTGGAATATTCTTATATAATACTACTCGGGATGGCAACTAGGGATATAGACATGATTTTTAATCAATTTTTAAATACTTAAACTTTTCAAAATAGAGTAGAATCTCGTATAAAAAGAATTGTGCACCAAGTGAACAGCAAACAATGTGTGTATAATAATACGAAACATTAGTACATTATAAATTCACAATCATTTGCGTTTATTGAGAAATCGGAAATAGCGTAAAGTACAACTTCCGGTCACCGAAAATTACTCAAAATTTGAAAGAAAACAGAGAATTAGATTTTTTACTTATATGTGAAATTTCATCTATCAGAAACAGTACTAAAGTTATATAGGCTTTTGAAAAACCGAAAGTTGAATTCCACTTCCGGTTACCTGAAATCGCTGAAAAGTTGATACAGAACTACACTTTTTATATAATACTTATATATGAAATTTCATCAATCTAGCTGTAACGGTACTCAAGCTATCGTGTTCTCAGACACACACACACACACACTGCACACACACACACACACATATATCACGGGCATAATTACAAAGCCCAGTTTTTCCGACTCGATGACGTGTAAAATGCCGAGATTTTGATAAATCTGGATTCAGAATATTTTTAGCCCAATTAAAATAAGTCCCTTTTACTCCGTATATGATGAAGTACTGAGGTGTATACCGGTGAAAACTGCCAAAATGTCATGTGATTTTTGTGCACGATTACAATACTTCCTCTATACTGAGGCTCTATAGGTCTACCCTGTATACTATTAGGTAAAAATGCAGTGAAAATGTTAATACCATAGGGAAGTCGACTTTAACTCTCTGTATACTGACCAAAGCGCTCCATAACACAACACTCCAACAGGATGTTTCTATTAACTTGTCAACTCTTCTCCTTTACATGCTTGCCATACGCTTCCCATTCCCTCGTCCCAACAGCTGTCATTAATCTACCTCCCCGGGTATAAATTGGACATGCCTGTCCACTATTGTATATGTCGAAGTCACAAAAATGAACTCTACTATGTCAGCGCATAACTTTGAATTTAGAAACTGTCATACTTTTTATTTTAAGAACTTCGTATTGAAAACATGGTTAGGCCTACTTGTTGGCCTAACCTCCCCCTCACACCTCGCTAAATATGTACATGTCTACCAGTCTACATGGATGTAATGTCCAGAACGAAATAGAATTTATATAGAAAAGATATACTTTTATCAGTGTCCGGCTACCTCCCCACCCGCCCCCCCCCCCACCCCCGAAAATTTAGTCCGCCTCACGGAAATATAAAGTCCCCCCCCCCCCCCCGGAGAAAAAGTCTATAAGAAACACTAGTATTGTAGTAATGTCATCATTAGCAGGACTGTCCACCCAAACCTCGATCACAGGACCCCCATTGAAAGAAAACTGACCCAGTTGGCCGCACATTTCCCAAGTAGCAGGCTTGAGATCTAGGTCTATACAATTACTTCAAATTTTCAGCAACAGAAAAAAAAACCCGACTAATGACTCAGGCTTTCGCCATTTGCATACATTACATGTTTTAAGTTAGCTACGCCGGAAACAGATTCATTAACCTGCAGGCCCTTACAACTGCTAGTGCAAAACTACCATAGGCCTAAGCATCAGCGATAAGCTAATTAGTTAACCTTTTTTCACTTTTGTTTATTTATATCAATGAGAAAGAATACTATCCTGTGGGCTTACAATTCTGGCGCATGTGTGTATTCTAAATGCATGACACATCGGTGGTTGTGTAGCCTATTACATTGTGATTACTAACTTACTGTCTTTTGTTCTGACCACTTTATATGTAAACATTGTATGAGCTACCGTTTATTAAAAGAGCGGGTTTTAAGATCGTGACGTAACACAAGTATAATCCTTTGAACAAATGTAACATATTGACCGTTCTTGTATGGCTACTTCTCATAAAGTGCTGTTTGACCTTCTCATGAAACAGATTCACCTGTTAACCTACTTACAGGTATTCCTAGCACTTGAAACTGCGACTTGTTTGTAAAGTTAAGTTCAGCCATTATTTTTATAATTAAGTCATTTAAAATGGTTCTCCTTCATGTAACGAAAACACAACGCAAACGACACAACCGTCTACATGACAAAATTCCACACGCTTTAAGCCAAACATAACAAAGCATAATTTTCAATCGATCGAAAATGAATTGATAGGTCTACGCCTTTACTTGAAAACAGGCGAATAAAAATATCGAACTGATATAAGTGAAGTACAAGCCACACTAAAAGTAAAAGTGGCGCCGGGGGAGGGTCGGGAAATACTAATATTTGTTGCAATTGTTGGTAGCGATCTAAAGACTGATGTACGTTTGGCGGGTATTGGTTTCTTGATTTATGTGTCCTTATCACGCTGTCAGGATATACTATTAGAAAATCGATAGAGCACAGAATGACAGTGATTTCACAGTCATCAAAGTGCCGTTTTTTATTTTTCTATTGAATGAATGATAAAAGCTATAGAGTAGCCTACGATCCACGCAGCAAGTCATAAAACATCTGCCAAGGTTAAACAATAGTATTGATATTTGATGGTGCCGAATAGTGGCTTGTTTGTGTGCGTGCTATTGAACAGCAGCGCGACCTGTACAGTAGAGGGATTAACTGGCACGATGTCAGACACGACTCGATAACAAAAGGGGCACGAACGTTTTTTTCAGTTTCAAGAGGGAACTATGAGTGTTCGTTAACGGGCTGCTATATATAGAAACAACATAACGCTATATGAATAGAAAGGTTACGTTTAGAGAGTAGTGACTTTGTGGCACGTACTGGGCATGCTGGCATGGTCGTGTCTAACATTCTTTGAGCTGTTAAAGGTGGCGAGAGGTAATAGGGCACGTAGGTCTACGCAAGTGTCATATTCTACCTCTGCACTGATTATATTGCATACGATTTCTAGATCGACAAGTCTATAATTTATGATCGGATTTAGCTTTTTGAAGTTGTTTTTTTTTTCGGGGGGGGGGGGGGGGGTATAGTGTAGATATATATATATATATATATATATATATAGAGGCCAATATATCTGGAGCACAAGTTTGGCTATTTGTATGTATTCATTTATCAAAGTGTTTCCAAAATTGATCATGCTTGTCCCCCTCAACGTCTAAACCTTACTACATAATAGTGATTCCTAACTTTTTATAAGTAACGAACCCCACCAGTTTCATATGCGCATTCACCGCACTGAAAAAATCTGATCGTGTATCATATGTTGGGTGTCTTGACCTCCACTGAACGCCTGAGCCACTGCCTTATATAGATCTAGAATCTAGTCCTAGTTCGGGGTCGTCAGCTCTTGGAACTCGTGGTAGTGATATCGTCAGAAAAATGTATCGGCTACTTTAACTATTGTCTCCCCCCACCCCACCCCACACCAAGAAAGTATCAAGAAGAAAAAAATACTAGAAAGAAACCCTGGATCATGATGATTTCCAAATGTCCCGGAGACTTTGCTTTGTACGGAAAATGAAGACTGAAGTGTTTAATGTGTTGATCAGTTGAGGTCATTTAGGTCGTAAGTGAATTCAGTTAAGCTGCGTCAAGGCCGTGAACAATTCAGCGGCTTGTGTGGTGTGTGTAATGGTGTTAGATGAGGGCGTGTGTGTTGTGTGTAATAGTGTGAGATGAGGGCGTGTGTGTTGTGTGTAATGGTGTGAGATGATGGCTTATGTGTGGTGTGTAATGGTGTGAGATGGGGACTTGTGTGGTGTGAGATGTGTGAGATGAGGGCGTGTGTGTTGTGTGTAATGGTGTGAGATGAGGGCGTGTGTGGTATGTAATGGTGTTAGATGAGGGCGTGTGTGGTGTGTAATAGTGTGAGATGAGGGCGTGTGTGTTGTGTGTAATGGTGTGAGATGAGGGCTTATGTGTGGTGTGAGATGTGTGAGATGAGGGCGTGTGTGTTGTGTGTAATGGTGTGAGATGAGGGCGTGTGTGTTGTGTGTAATGGTGTGAGAT